TCTAAGCAATGAATCTCATCTCTTCTTTCGACATTGTATGCCTCCAAGAGACCTGGTCCCAACAAAGTATTGTTCTCCCAAATTATTGCTCCTTTAGCTCCTGTGCTCGTAAACTAACCAACAGGGGTCGCCCCCAAGTTGGCCTCGCCTGTCTTATTTCAACCAGCTTACCCCTCACTATTTGCGAGAAATTAAATCTTCCCTTACTTTCTCACCATAAAGATTCATCTCCCAAAGACCAAAAGCCCATGGTTGATAACTACAGTATATCTGCCCCCAGCAATTAATGATTTCGACCGCAATGAAAGGTGGTCTGAACTTTCGTCTTGGCTCCATGATCTCCAAACAACTAACCCAGGACTCCCTCAAATCCTCTTAGGCGACTTTAATGCAAGAATAGGTCCCAACGACGATGATATAATATCTCCCGCAGCACTCCTGGACAATCCCCTGCAGCCCCCCTGGGGAAACAGATGCTCTCTTGATCCTATAACAAATGCGTCGGGAGGCTGATGGCCCAACTGGCCATGGAAAACGATCTCTGCATCGCAAATGGTAACATTACTCCCTTGTCCTCGCAGCAATTAACGTGCATCACTTCCCGGGGAACCAGTGTTGTCGACTACATTTTATTGACGCCGGAGCTATTCTCAATTTCTACAAAAATGGAAGTGGCTGAATATTTTGGTGGTGACCACCTTCCATTGACTCTAATGTTAAACCTAATAGAGCCACTCCCAGTCTCCTCAAACTATAGAACCATGGTACAAAGCCACCCTGTATACAAAACAAAGAAATGGACAAGCCTCAGCTCCTCTCTTGCCCTGGACATACAAAAATCATTTGATATGTCTGCAGTTCCCTCTGATCCAATCCTGCCCGCTGACCAATACCGGAAATTACTTGATGCTTTCTCAACAACTTACATAACCACCACCTCGCCTACTTACCAACGCCTCTTCTCTGAATCGCCCTGGTTTGACAAGGAATGTAAAGCCCTAAGAAGGCGAATTAGGAAAATGGTCAGAATCATCAAATCTTCCAACGACCCCCAAACCCGTGCAAAGCTCATAGATATTAAAAGGACATATAGAAACATGATTCATTGCAAGAAACAGCAGTACATCTTTGAGGCTTGGTCCACTCTTCGTTCGGCTGTAGAGAGGCATGACTCCCGCTCCTTCTGGCGCCTAGTTAGACCTTCGGCACCATTCAATCCAGCTACCCAGATTTCCGCGGATGAATGGATTGCTTATTATTCAACTAGTTTCGCTTCTCCAAACCATCTTACAGATCTCCTTCAATCCCCATTGGACCTCAGTTCCTGCTCTCTTAGTCCCACTTCTTCAATAAACTTTACTTCAACTCGCATTTTCAACATCATAATGTCAATGCAAAGGAATAAGGCCCCGGCCCAGACATGGTCCCGTTGGACCTTTTCCTGACTGATCCTCTTTGGTGGAGCGAACACCTGACTCCTGTATTCACCGCTATCTCCTCCGCCCTAGACATCCCCGACTCCTGGAGAGAAGCTATAATAGTTCCGATCTTCAAAGGCGGCCAGCCAAACATCCCTAGGAACTATCGCCCCATCAGCTTATTATCCATCCCGGGAAAATATTTGCCGCTGTTTTACTGGAGGAACTTCTCTCATGGGTCCAGGAGAGGAACATTCTACCGCTAGAACAGATTGGTTTCCGAAAGTCAGCGTCAACCATGGACCATTGTCTAACTCTCTTTCACCTTGCCAGTAAATACACTGCTCCAAGGCAAGGCCACCTATTTGCCGCTTTCATGGACCTGGAGGCCGCCTTTGATTCCATTCCTAGGCAGAGATTATGGTCCAAACTTGCCCATCTGGGAATTGATCCGCACCTTCTCTCCCTAATTATCTCCCTTTATTCAAACACCACAGCTCGCGTCCGAACTAGTCCAAACGGCTCCCCCACTACTCCATTTCCAACGGCCAAGGGCGTCCGACAAGGTTGCCTCTTGGCCCCTTTACTGTTTAATCTCTATCTTCATGATGCAATTTCCACTTTGAAGCTAGCATCTAAGTATCCTCCTCACTTAGCAGGCCACCCCGTTGCTTCCCTTTTCTATGCTGATGATGCCGTCATCTTATCCAGAACAGCTGCGGATCTAGCAAATGCAGTTAATGCATTTATCGCCTATTGTAAGGCGGAAGCTCTTAATATTAATTATAAAAATCGAAAGTCCTCCACTTCACTCGTTCCCGCAAACTCAAGTTGGAGCCGCTTAAGATCACAGGTGGCTACTTAGAAAAGGTAAAAGCCTTTAAATATCTAGGATTAATATTCACCTATAATCTCTCCTGGACCACCCATCTACAATCTGCCTTTCTCGCTGCAACCACGACCTCTAACGCCATTGTCCGATTTTACCACCAGAAGGGCGGCAAACACCTTCCAGCAGCAATTCAAATATTTAATGCCAAAGTCGTCCCTAAATTATTATATGGATGTGAAGTATGGACTACAGCAATATCAGGTAACCTGGATCGTCCACTTCATATGTTTCTGAGATCTCTTTCCGGCGTCCCGAGATGTGTCTCAGGTGCAGCCCTACGACTCGAGTTCGCCCAGCCTTCAATTGCTAGACGAGCATGGAGCCGAGCCATTTCCTACACCCTCCACCTATTAGCATCGGATGCTCGAATTAGAGGTGGCTTTTCCAATCTGATCCTAAGAGATATTCATAATTCCCCTTGGAAAACTACAATTAACCTCAAATTCCGCTCTCTTCTCAATTTGAATTGTAAAACTGTTCTTAACTTAGAGTGTATCAGCCCGGTGGCCCTACCCCTAATTAAAAAGAAACTACAGCAACTTGACTTCTCCAACACAGCTTCTTGTGCAAGAGGACCGTGTTCAGGCCTAGCCCTAGCTATTCCACCCCCTGAAGGGATCCCTCTATACTGCTTCACAATTTCTTCGGAGACTAAGCGAAGGGCTTTTACCTGTGCCCGTCTCAACTGTTTTCCTACAGCAGTTCTGTCGGGTCGTTATTCCAGAGTTCCCATCGCAAACAGAACATGCTCCTGTAATGACACGGCCCTGGAGACTATGGAACATGTAATGCTCTTCTGTCCCAACTGGACAGATGAAAGATCTCGGTTTTTAACTCCCCTCGTGAATAAGTTCCATCTCCCAATCCAGCCTTGGATAGTGTCCCTCTGTTGCAGGATTCTGATTGTTGGATTACTGAGATGACAGCTAATTTCCTGCTTAGTGTGATGAAGAGGAAAGCGGCACTAACTTCTTCCTTAACACCACAGATGCAGTCGATACGCCGCACAACCGAACGAAGTTCCAAGTAGCCTTATTGTACAAGGACAATCGAGTTAGGACTAATCTGAGGAGCTGAAGGACCCTTTAACGGTCCTCCTCCAGCCTCAGCAGCTTTTGTTTTCTTTCTTTTTTTTTCTTTTTTTTTCCACTTTCTTTAAGTATTCGCCCAGGACGATGTCTACCTCTACCTCCCCACCCCCATTTTATGTTGTTATTTCAATGTATATCATGCTATGGCCACTCGGCTAATGCAATAAATAAATCTAACGATTCTAGTTATGGCGGCACATATTAATACTAACTCTGCCTTTGCTCTGTTGGCTTTTGTTTTTGTACAGCACCTATAACTATCTGGGCAAGGCAAATAACTCAATGCTGGAAGCTTTTGCCAATGGAGACCTCTCCTTGGCACAAAAATATCAGGTATGATATTTCTAACTGAAGCTGATGACAGTGGATCATAGTATGATAACAGATTCCTCCTTCCTTTTGTATACGGGTAACTCCTAACTTACACTGGCAGCCCAGGACCTCCATAGGCACTGCCCAGGCTTGCACCCCAGAGAGGTCACCTGGGTGCTGCTAACGCAGCCGTTTGACTTCACCCCTGGAGGTGTACTCCATTGTCTCTTGAGACAGATGAATGCCATCAACTCTATTCAGCTTTACGCACTTAGCCAAAAAAAAATTAAGGGGGGGATGGCAACCCCACCCACCATTTAACCCATTGTGTTTTGACTATACACGATTTTGGCATTATGCTCTATCCCCGGAGTATAACACACACCCACCCGTAAGTTGTACGGTACAGATAACACACACTAAAAGTAGTGTGCCTCTCCCCTTTACCCTTCACTCAGCTTGGGACAATGGGCAAATGGGAACAGGTTTCTTGACATGTATCACTTGCTGAATGAGGAGCACCTGTCCTGTATTTGCAAACAGTTGGCGTGGGACCCATATGACCTAGCTGGCACTCTGCCAAAAATGTAAATAAACACTTTCATTGCACCCACCTCAGATCCTGTGTGCACTTCCCTTCCCAATCCTTCATTGTTCCCTCTCCCCTAATTACCTGATAACACTATGTATACCACCTCCAGTTTAACACTGTGTATACCACCTCCAGTTGCCCTACACCTTTTTTATTACCTATAATAAAATTAATAAACTTATTTTCTGTCTCTTAGTGCAGTACCCAGGAACTAATCAGCTTTTTCATGGCACAGGGTAGGTACCACAGTAGACCGAATCCTTTTCTGCCCATCAGACATGGTTTATCCAACGTGCTTGAATGCTTCTGAATTTCCTTTTTTAAAAAAAGCTTTTATTGCCCAAGAAGCGCAGATACGTTCTGAAAGACTCCATTTAACTTTCTCTCTCTCCATTTTTCCTTTGCAAATTGCCCCTTGCACTTTCTTCAAATGCAGCTTTTCTCATGGGAGTAGCCAGGATTTCTGTTAGGAGAGGGCAGAACCTCAGATTTGTATTGGTTTTTATTGATTTTTATTGATTTGGGGGGAGAGCTTCCTCTGGCCCTCCTTGGCTACGCCCCTGGGTTTTCTCCTACTGCTTTGATTTTCAGACCTCGATTTCTTTTCCAAATACATTTCTTTAAAAATATATAACATTACTATAAGATTATAGTAACAAATTATTTGCACTCAAGTGCTTACACTAAAGTGTATGTACTCTATGCTAACCATCTAGCAGCTTGTACATTTGAACTATGCCTCAGATTTCATCTGTAGATATTCCATTGTGTATCTATTTGTAATATTATCTTGTTCGCTGCCATAGCATTTAGCCAGATTCCCCAAATGTTTAGCAACAGTAACGCTCCATGTCAGGCAGTAAATGCATGTCACGTGTGGTATAGTCAGCCCTAGAATTTTGAGAGCTCATATGACATTGTCATGTTGAATCAGTAAGTTCCCACGTGGAATCTCACCTCTGCATTGAGCTTACTGGGAAGCCTTTAGGCAGGCCAGTCTTTCAAGCCTTCTGCTGCCCCAGCTGCAATATGAAGACATCACATTGGGCAAAAGATTCCTGCATTGCAGGGGATTGCACTTGATGACCCTTGTGGTGCCTTCCAACTCTAAATTCTATGAGTTGGTTGTTCTTTTGTCTGACTTGCAGGGCTATAGTAAGAATTAAAGGTAAAGGGACCCCTGACCATTAGGTCCAGTTGTGGCTGACTCTGGGGTTGCGGCGCTCATCTCGCTTTACTGGCCGAGGGAGCCGGCGTACAGCTTCCGGGTCATGTGGCCAGCATGACTAAGCTGCTTCTGGCGAACCAGAGCAGCGCACGGAAACGCCGTTTACCTTCCCGCCGGAGCGGTACCTATTTATCTACTTGCACTCTGACGTGCTTTTGAACTGCTAGGTGGGCAGGAGCTGGGACCGAACAATGGGAGCTCACCCTGTTGCGGGGATTCGAACCGCTGACCTTCTGATAGGCAAGTCCTAGGCTCTGTGGTTTAACCCACAGCGCCACCCACGTCCCTTATAGTAAGAATTACAACAAACTAAAAGCTTAGAACACTGGAAAACCCAATAAATCTGATTACAATATTATGTTTTAACTTTTCTGTCAAAAACATTAAATAATTAAAGGTTGGGGACTAGTCAGTTGGCTAAAAGGTTGGGGGCAAGGGCCAGACTTCCTGAGAGGCAGTAAATCATAGGGTTTCTCTCCCCCTGCTCTTTTATGAAAAGAAATTATTTTAGTCACATCCCCACTATACATTGTAAAGCACTCTTGTAACAGTTGTGGCTTTCCCTCAAAATCTTGGGAACTGTCGTTTAAGGGTACTAGTCTCACATAGCTACAATTCCCAGCACCCTTAACAAACTACAGTTCCTAAGATTGTCCATGACTTTTGAATTGGTATGGGTGCTTTAAATGTATGGTGTGGCTGTGACCTCCATCATCGACTATAGAGTGGGGCAGAAACTTTGTTGTGGAATGATTTGTGTCCTTTTTTCTTCTGGCTAGGCTTTGGCGTTGCAGAGACCAAAGCAATCGTGACTCTGCTTTCAGGGATACCCATGGGTCCCCCACGACTTCCACTCTCAAGTGCCTCTGAGGAGTTCATTGCCAGTGTCAAACCCAAATTGGAGAGCCTGAAGAACTGTTGCTACAGCTGACTTTAAGTATCCAGTGTGGGCATAGGAACATGGGCCATGCAACTTGGTAAACAGGTCTCACTTGCATACTTGAGACGCATCCTGACTGCTCAGCGTCCGTGAGGAAATTACTCAATGACTCCTAACAGGGACTATGCATTGATGCCCTCTACATACCTTGCCTGGATGGAAAAGAGTAGCTGCTTTGCTGCTTGGCAGGGATAGGATGCCTCTCCAATAAGAAGAAAATAGCTTATTTTGAAAATAGGAAGATGCTGTTGACAGAACGTCTATCAATTCTTTTGCACTATTGGGGAATCAAGACACAGCTTAGACTCCTTTATGCTTTTCTTGCCACTTTCATATCCCTAACCAAAATACAAACAGGGATATAACTGGATTTAGTACCTTGTAAACCTGAATTGTGTTTACAGAACCCAGACTCTGGAAACTCCAATGTCGACATTATTTCAAGAAGTTCCTAAACTTTTGCAAGTTGTTTTTCTATCTTCCTGCAGAGTTGCTGACATTGTTGGACTCCAACTCCCATTAGCTTCAGCCAGCTTGGCCAGTGGTCAGGGATGATGGGAATTGTAGTCTGAAAACAGCTGGAGACCCAAGTTTGGGAAACACTGAGCTAAAGCTATCCTGCCAGGAGGTCCGATCTTCAGTAAGCACCTAGAGGTGATTCCTCATGAGCAGATCCAATAGTGGGACTCAAGCCTCTTGCTTCAAAATCAGTGCTTTCTAGGAAACAGGTCTATGGCTGGAGATGAGGCCAGGAAGCCTCTCCACCCATCAGGTTGTTTTACAACTCACATCAGGGAGCCTTATCCTGAGTCAGACCATTGTTAACACTGATTGGCAGTGACTGTCCACTCCACGGTTAGTAGGAAGCTGTTCTATGTACCCCCATGGCTGCAGCAGATTCTCCATACCAGTTAGGATCTCAAGGTCAGATACCCGGACTTTTCTGACAAGTAACCTGTGCCCCTGGCAAAGAATTCTGGGGAACATTCTGTAGCACACACACGGTTCTTACTGAATGTTGTTCCATTGCTAAGTATGTGAATGGCCTTTAAAAAGTTAATCTAATGGGAGCTTTTCTTCCAATGCAAATAGCCCCTGTGGGGGACTGATCTGGATCATAGCCTAAAATCTCCCACCCACTCTGTGTTGATTTAAAGCAGAGCCTGTCGTGGCCAGCGGAAGGATGAAGAAAATGTGCTGCATACTCCATATAGCTTTATTTACAGTTCAAAGCTGGTATATTACAGAAAGACATCTTGCCTCTGCAAGAGCAGAAAATGCATCCTCGCTCCTCGACAGCTTGGCGAGAATCACCCAGTGAAAAAACCGGAAACCAGTGTACGTCACATCCAGTCTCGCTTTCCCGTGAGAAACTCCAACAGTACAGACAGTACAGACTGTGGAATGTAAACACCTGTCTCGTGACATGCAAAGCTGCACAGTGAAGGAAAGCAGAAACTAACATCCTCCCCCTTTCTGTGAACATCACTGGGCAGCGTGTTTGCACAATATCAGTACAAACCCAACTTCTGCACATAGGTACAGTGTTGATCCCTTGATACAATCTTGGACAATACATCAGCAGGAATTTCATTACCTGGCATATAGGACACCGTTACGAGTCCCTTCTGAATACATTCCCTAGCATGCTGCAACTTTAATTGCAAGTGCTTTGTGCTTTGCTTACAACCTTCAGACTTCAGCAAAGCCAAACATGCTTTGTTGTCCTGGTAAACCTGGATTGGACATTTGACAGGAATTTTCATATCTTTGCACAATTGTACTAACCATTCACAATCCTTAAGTGAATAAGACAGTGCATTGAGTTCGGCTTCACAAGTACTTAAGCTAACTGTTGTTTGCTTCTTGCATGACCAATCAAACAGACTCTGATTGTACATGTAGCAAACTCCAGACGTACTTTTCCTGTCTGTAGCGTCACTTCCAAAACTTGCATCTGCAAATATCTCAAGACCACCAGACTTCTGATTGTTAAATCTCAGTCTGTAATGCATAGTGCCTTTCAAATACCGCGCTATGCGTTTCAGAGCTTTCCAATCCTTGACACTAGGATTGTTGACTTGTCTGCTTAGCAAATTACAGCTAACAGCAATGTCTGGTCTTGAACATCTGGCAATGAAGTTTAGCTTGCCTAGCACACTCCTGTACAGTGTAGTGTCAGAAAATGCTTCTTCAGTGTCATCTACCTGATAACCTGTTGTCATCGGTGTGTCTACAGGGTTAGCATCCATCAGATTTAGTTTGCTTAACACATCAGCAATTTTCCGTGACTGGTGTACTAGAATGTTACCATCTTGATCTCTCTCTATTTCCAGAGATAGGTAGTTGTTTACCTCACCAAGATCTTTCATGTCAAAGTGCTCTTTCAGTTGAGCTAGGGCGTTATTGTACATTGCAACATCTTTCCAAAAGAATAATAAATCATCAACATAAAACAAACAGTACAGTTTCTTTTGCCCCTCCTCTTTGACAAATACACATGGATCAGCTTTCCCTTGCTGAAAACCTAGAGAAAACAATACTTCAGTGAGTTTTGTGTGCCAACACCGTGCACTTTGTTTGAGACCATAAAGGGATTTCTTCAGAGCACAAACAAATCCCTGTTTTACCTGTACGCCATCAGGTGGAAGCATATAAAGTGATTCATCTAGAGATCCGTACAGAAAAGCTGTATTAATATCATGGTGACTAATGTGTAGATTTTCCTCTGCAGCTAGCTTAAGCATAAGCCTAATGCTTTCATATCTCACTGTGGGTGAATAGGTCTCGTGATAGTCTTCACCTGGTACCTGTGCAAAACCTCTGGCTACCAATCTGGCTTTGTGTCTGACTATCTTGCCATTTTGATCTGTCTTCGCTTTGAAGACCCATTTGCTTCCAAGCAGTTTCATTCCTGGAACTACTGGAACTAGCTCCCATGTTTTGTTCCTTTCTAAGGAATCAAGCTCAGCCTTCATGGCATTTAACCATGGCTCAGCTTCCTTTGAATCCAAACCCTGGATTTCTTGGAAACTTGAAGGTTCAAATACCTTCTTGGAGCTTTTAACAGCTGTTACTGCTATCTTAGCAAACTCATCAGCAAATCTCTTTGGAGGTTTGCCTTTTGTGGCTCTCTGTGACCTACGAATTAGCCTTAAGTCTTCAACACTCTCCTCTTCCTTCTTAGGAGAAAACGACCTATTGTGAACAATGGTTCCTCCAATTCTTGATCAGAGCTTTCAGAGGGTCGCATAGAGGCTTTCGCACTCTTGAAATCCTCTGAATCACCCGATTCAGTTTCAGATTCAGACTCAGAACCTTCATCAGTGGGTGTGGGCTGTTGTGGTTGCTTTTGACTATCCTCAGTCTCATCACCGTCATCAGGATAACATTGGAAAATTCCCACATTCTCCCCCACTTTGCATTGTACTCAACACTTCTCGTGAGCTTAATTGTCTTAGAGTCAGTCATCATTATTCTGTAAGACCCTTTCTGATAACCTAGAAAGATACCATGCAATCCACGCTTGTCTAACTTGGAGTTTTGTGGTGAGCGAACCCACATGTCAGAACCAAAATCTTCATGTGTTTGATGTATGGCTTCTTGCCAAACATCTTCTCATAGGGGGTACAACCAATCGCTGAAGATAATCTGCGATTGTAACTGTAAACAAAACACGAGAGAGATTCGGCCCAATAACTCTCTGGAAGATTGGCATCATGCAGCAAGGTTTTTAAGCCTTGAAGCAATGTCTGATTTGCCCGTTCCGCAAGTCCATTCTGCCATGGCGAGCGAGGACTAGACAAATCGTGTTGAATTCCTTTCTCAGTCAGAAAAGCTTCAAACTGCTGAGAAGTGAATTCCCCCCCGCGATCACTGAAAAGAGTCTTTATCTTCTTACCATGCACATTTTCCAACCAAGCACAGAATTCCTTGAACCTAGGAAAAGCCTCCGATTTCTGCTTGAGATTGTACACAAAAATATATCTAGAAAATGCATCAATGAGAACCATGAAGTATCTATTTCCACCCAAAGAGGGCGCTAGTGGTCCAACCAAATCAGCATGAACAACCTGGTATGGTTCTGTAGCTTTCCTACTAGACACCTTACCTTTCGCAGCCATTTTCACCTTGTTTGCTGCGCATGCTTTGCACTTCATGTGGTACCTGCAGGGTTTAATAGTCATACCTTCAACCAAGGCAGGCATTTTAGATACTGCCTCAAAATGCAAATGACCAAATTTGCGATGAAAATCGTGAATACATTCTGCATGCAAACTTTTGTTAGAACCTGCAATGCAACAAGTGTCATCCTGCACCACATCATCATAATACAAAACAAACAAATGATCAACATATTCTGCATGCAATACATAATCATTTTTCTTTGTGATGATGCACTTCTTGTTCTTGAAGGAAACGTCAATGTTCCGCTCATTCAGCTGTCCAACGCTGAGCAGATTATGTTTGGCGTCTGGCACGTAAAGCACATTCTGTATCGATAAGTCCAAACTGTGAAGAACAACAGTTCCGTAGCCTTTACTGGGAATAGTGTGGTCATCCGCCTGGTGAATCGCACCTTCCTGCGGTGTAAAAGACACAAACAGTTTCTTATCGTTGCACATGTGGTGGGTGGCCGCTGAATCAATTACGAAGAAAGATCTAGACGTCTTCTGGACCTCTGCAACCTTTGGAGTGAAGCGTGAAACCATAGCCTTGTGCTGCGTTGTCCTAGACACCGGACCTTTGCCTTTGCCTCGGCCTTTTCCGCGCGATGAGCTTTCGCTGCGCTGCTCTGTCTTGGCCCTGGGATGTCTGCATTCCCTCTTCATATGGCCTAGACGTCCACACGAGTAGCATTTCACTGCCTTCAAAGCTTTGGCGCCATCTGGTGGTTCCACTGCACTATGGGATGACGTCTGTGAAGACTCTCCCTTGCCCATGCAGCTAGCACCCCGGCGATCTGCTTCATTTAAAATCACGGCAGTAAC